GTGTGTGCCCTTGTAAGGATTAGTCAGATCCAGCAGGTGCAGTGCTGAGAGGGAGTTTAATGAGACTTGTGCTTGATTAAGAACACGGGAAAAGTGACTTGGGGATCAGGTTTTCATTTCTTACGTCTTAAAATTCAAAATCGGAGACAAATTCAGATTGTTACTAGCCTGTTTACCTTAAAAATAAACTACAATAAATTTCAACATGAAAGAAAGGACTATATATATGTAAAATAAATAGATATGGTTAAGAGAGTTGCTACTGGTGCTAATTTCTAGTTTCTTTAACTTAAAAACCTTTTAAAGTTTAAATAAGTACTATTTTGACATAAGTTTAGAAAAACAAAGCTTAACCATAGAGGAGCTTGCCTTCTGTATACTAAAGGTGATTTTCCCCTTTTATGGAGTTGCTTAGAGATCTGAATAAGAACTAATGGCCAAAGTCAGACTTCGTTTCAGTAAAACTTTTGCGTCTGTAATACTTGGTTATTTGGCAATAGTAATACTTTGTTATTTTACATTAGCGTTCGACTGGCTCTTTGGGTCCCAGGAGGCAGGTAGGCCGAGCTCACAAGCACTGGTGTACACCACCAAGCCCAGGACAACAGAGAGCTCTGGCCACAGTAAGGGTCTCCTGGGGAAACAGAGCCACTGGTCCTTTCTCTGGCCCCAGAGAACTGTCATTTTCCTGAGGTGATGGCTGTCCTGAAACTTATCCCTTGTTTTAAAGAACCGAAAGTCTTGGAGGGAGTGGCGGTTAATCACTGGAAAAGCTCAATTGGAATAAAACTCACAAATCTTGTTCTTGCAACACCTGGTGGGGAGGCGACAGCAGCGTGTCCTTGAGTTATGCAATCACGCCACATCACAATATTTTAATTATAGTATGCCCTTCAGAGCGCTGCCCGGGGAGGCTTCCTGCCAGGCGCTGGACACTGCCGAGGGCGGCTCACAGGTGAAGCAGGGCTGCCTGGCCTGTCACCATCGTGTCCCATAAAGTGAAGCTGTAATTACCTCATTCTGCCCGATCAAGGCTCTTGGGAAAAAAAAAACTCAACTTTTTTTCAAAGTTCAAACTCCTTAGGAATTTTTTTAGGCCTGCCAGCCACTCACTATTACCCTAACAACTGGCACGGACATTAATTGTCCACACTTAATGTGTGGAGCTGCCGAGAGACGCTGCCTCGGCAGTTTGGTACTTTAAACACAAGATAAACAGAGCCCGTGGCCAACCGAAACCACGCGCTACGAGCCGTGGGCAGTTATGCAAAGAGGGCCCTGGGCCACCAAGCCCACATAGGCCAGCCATCAGGTCTTCACAGGTAAAGTCGGTCAGGGCTGTTTACCACCTGTGGCAGGGACGCCTGGTGGCCGCCCACACCAGACAGCCCATGGCCTTTAGGGCCCAGGCCACACACTGGGCACTGGGACACTTTCATTTGGGCTAGGCCTGCATTTCACAGCCATACAAAGTGGCTCTGAGGGGGTCTCCGAGCCGGCCCTCTGGCCACGTGGGGGACCATGTGAGAACATGGAGCTGGGCTGCGTATCCTGGGGCCAGTGCATGGGCTGTCCAGAGGCAGACACAAGCCCTTCACTGGAGTGGGAGAGGTGAGGAACCATTGGGTCATAAGCACCGAGCCTAAAGCCGCAGACACTGCAGGGCCCTAAAGGCACACGAATACTTCAAGGGACCCTACTTCACTGGGGTCTCAGCCCAGCTCTCCACACATGCACTAAGAAACAGACTCTATACAAGTCCAAGTAAACAGATGCTACAACTCCACAGACTTTATCTACCATGACTAACAAAATAGTCTCCACCATGTTCAACTACATAGACTTCACCATATACATACCATACAGACCCCACACATGTACAACAGACTCCACACATGTACAACACAGACCCCACACATGTACAACACAGACTCTACACATGTACAACCACACAGACCCCACACATGTATATTACTATACAGACTCCACATACATACAACTACACAGACTAAACACATGTACAACTACACAGACTCCACACATGTACACCTATACAGACCCCACACATGTACAACACAGACTCTACACATGTACAACCACACAGACCCCACACCTGTACATTACTACACAGACCCCACACACGTACATTACTACACAGACTCCACACATGTACAACTATACAGACATCACACTTTACAACTACACAGAAATCTGCATGACCAGAAATAGGTCCTGTGGAGACACCCCCCTTAGCACCTTCAGAAAAACTTCACCCCAGGTGCAAATTTCACTGTAGGATACACAGTTCCACCTTGGGATTATTGTTTTGACAACAATATCCTTTCTTCAGACTATTTACCCCAGCAGGCTGCAGAAGGGGACAAAGTTGAGCAGGACTGAAACCAAGCAGGCCAACGCCAGGGTCACCTGGTAACCCTGGCCGGAGGCACACAGCAGAATCTCTGTCACCCACTCCTTACAGCCCTGCCTTCTCTGAGCGCAGGAGCTACACTCGGTTCACACAGGCCCCAGCCAGCTGAGCTCCTTTTAACGAGCCAGCAGCCTAAGTGGTCTGTTTATCCAAAGTCCTGGCCACTGATGGGCTGTCACTGCAGGACCCACCACCAGGCTGCTTTCTCCTTAACACGCAGCCTATGGAGGGCAAGACAGCAGACAACACCGGTTTACAGAGCGCACGTCAACTCTCACAGAACCTGCCTCCTGTAAACCCAGTGACAAAACCAAACCCCTTTAGATGTCTGCTTGTTCTGCCTGGAAGGACCAGTTAGCAGAACCGCTGAAAACAACAGCACCATCTCCTTTCACCGGGAGGAAACTTGGCCGATGTACGCTCTCAAGCTTCGGAAACTGAAACCGCTTATCCGCGTCTGCGCTTGGTAGCGTAGAGTCGGGATTCACAATTGATCAAAGTTTTGCAAGCGTCATCATTTTGATCCTGATGCTTGGAGCCAGTGGTGAAATCATCACTTTCAGGTCTCTGCCATGGCAGCTCCTACAGAGTCATGGGAAGCTGGCTCGCAGGGGTTCTCACGCCTTCAGAGCCGGTGCGCGGAGTGGGGCATGCCAGCACACGCCCGCGAGTATCGAGCCAGCACGCACTCAGCCGAGCGAGAGTCCCAGCTCCTGCTTCCTCAAGGGGGCCCCCCTGCCCCCTCCCACCAGGGCTGAGAGGAGGAAGAATGAGTTCCCAGCTCTCTTTTCAGAAGAGAGGAGTAGAACACACAACCATGAGGACATGTATGACAGAGCACCTGAGGAGCTCGAGGGAGGCAGGGGCACAGGCGAGGGGGAAGGGCACAAGCCAGGAGCTCTGCGGAAAGTCTGTGGCAGTGGGGCCCTTCCTTGTGTCCAGAGAGCAGACGGAGCAGCAAGGCCCCTCATCACCAAGGCCCCTTCTCAGTAAATGACCAAAGTGGACACCGACCGAGGCAATCTGGCCAGGAAGACCAATGTCCTTTGCAGTTTTAAGAAATATGAATAAACAAGTAGAGAAACCAGTTTACTTAGACTAAAATCAGATAGCTCTCTGAGACTTGGAGGCATCGGAAGTACGCATTAGACTCCCACTCCCTGAGCAGGTGCACACAGCTGAGAAGGAGAGGCGTTCAGAGCAGCCACCTCAGACTCGGAAAACACGTCTCCTCCCAAAGGCCTCAGGTTTCTTTGTTTTGAAATGTTACTTTCCAATCTGACCTGTGTTTCAAAGACATAAGCAGCTAATGCTCCACAACTAGCCAAAAGGTGGGAAGTTCAAACCCACCCAGAGGAATTGCAGAAGAAAGACCACAGCCTAGGAAAGCCTCTGGAACAGTCTGGTCTGCATACATGGGGCACCATGAGTCAGCGTCAACTCCACAGCAACTGTGAGCACCCACAGCAAATGCCCAGAAGGCAGCGCTTTATATCTAAAGTCTCACAAAGGCGCAAAACCGTGACTGAACCATTGAAATGTTCAGAAGGCAGCGCTTTACGTCTAAAGTCTCACAAAGGTGCATTACATAAGCAAAACTGTGACTGAACCGCTGTCTTCAATTCTTACCATGAATTCTTTATTTTTAAGATGCTTAAGAGTAATCGGGAGCGAGAAACACTTTCTTTTATACATTCAAAGTACCCTACTTGCCGCCTTCCCCCAACTAACTGCCCATGCAACCTCCACCCACACCTTTCTCCCTATCAGGCCAAGCAGACTAGCTCAAAGGGGATCCAGGATACCAGGCACAGTGAGAGCCCAGGAGAACAGTGTGCACCTGAAGGAGACCAGGAGTAGGCAGAGCGGGGAGTGGCATCTGGGGGAGGCATCCGGAAGACACGGCTGGCCCAGTCGTGCGGATCCGCAGTATCAGGGCTCTTGGTGGGCCATCGGGTCCCCGCCAGCTTACCTGTTCCTCAGTACTTGGGCGTTGTATACACGGGGCACTGTGGCTCATATGGACACTGTCCAGCACTTAGACCTGCTGTGTGCACATCCACGTAGGACCTCCCACAGGGCACAGAGCCCATAACACGCCTGCTTATTCCAGGGGGACCCCGTTTTCAGTGCTCTGTGTCACTGCACTGAACCACACAGGAGTCTTTCCTGTCACTGCTGTCCAGGTGTGCACTGCGCCCTGCTGGCCCAGGGTCAGAAGAGAGGGTCGCTCCAGGGACACAGAGAAGTAAATGGGAGGGGGGGGGGATCTCGACCTGCAGCCTCAGGTCAGCCCAGGTTCCCAGCTCCCCAGGTGTAGCAGGTGCCCCAAGAGGCCACTGCTCAGGTCAGAACTGGCCATCCAGAGCAGGGCGTTCTGGCTGGGCGGGACGAGGGGACGCGTTTTCTCGTCTTCTCGCTTCAGTCCCCAGGGCTGCCTGTGAAGAGACCCGGGCTCTGACCACCCTGACACTAACAGTCTGCTCCTCTGCTGCAGCTCCAGGTCCCAGCTCCAGGAGGTGGGCTGGCTCTTCAGACACAGAGACCCTCAACCCAGCAGGGAGGGACCATGAGCCTGCTCAAGGAGCGGAAGCCCAAGAAGCCTCACTACATCCCCCGGCCTCCGGGGAAGCCGTTCAAGTACAAGTGCTTCCAGTGCCCCTTCACCTGCAACGAGAAGTCACACCTGTTCAACCACATGAAGTACGGCCTCTGCAAGAACTCCATCACTCTGGTGTCCGAGCAGGACCGCGTGCCCAAGTGCCCCAAGGCCAACTCTGCGGAGCCGAAGCAAACAAGCCCAGCAGATGCCAAGGTGGCCTCCTCCAGGACGGCCACCAATGGGCTCCAGCATGGGTTTGCCAAAGAAGACACCAAGGAGAACCTGGAGATGCGCACGCGCACGCCACACCAGCCACCAGCGCAGAAGCTGGCTCTGCCTAAGGACACGGTGCCTCGAAGCCCAGCCCCCGACGCCGTGCCTGTCCTGGAGGGCGTCGGCCGGCCGTCCGCCTTTGTGCCCGTGGGAGAGCACAGACTTCAGGGCTCAGAGCACAGCGACGTCCCCGAGATGCTGGCCTTACCAAGCCCTGCCTCCAAGGCTGCCTCCTTCCACACCAAGTCCGCATTCCACGCACCCAGCTACCCCTGGAAGGCAGGCTCACCCTTCCTCCCACCTGAGTTTCCCCATAAAATCCCATCCACAAAGGGCTTCAGTGCACTCTCCCCCTATGCACAGTCCCCTCTCCCAGAGTACCCGCCCCACTTCTACACAGAGCACGGACTGGCCACCATCTACTCCCCCTACTTGCTGCCCAGTGCCCCGCCTGAGGGTGACAGCGCTCTGCTATCGGTATATGGGGCCCAGGAGCACAGACACTTCCACCCACACCCCGGGCCACTCCCCAAGCACCTGAGCACCCCCCCATCCACATATGACCACTACAGGTTCTTCCAGCAATACCACGCCAGCCTACCCCTCCCCTATAGCTTCTACCGGCCCGAGTCCGCCTTCTCTGCCTATGGCCTCAAGCTGCCACACCTTGCAGGACTGGCTCGAGACCCTAGCACCCACCTGCTGGAGGAGACCACCCTGGTCTACCCCAACCTGAGCCCTTCCAAGCTGACCCCGTTAAGCTCCCACAAGAAGAACACAGAGTTTGGGAAGGAAAGTCCAAGTCCCCAGGCCAGGGACACCACCAAAGACGGGCAGAGAGAGACGGAGGGGGCCAAGATGAGTCCTCGGGCAGGCAGTGCGGCCACCGGCTCCCCAGGGAGGCCAAGCCCCACCAACTTCATGCAGACAAGTCACGCATGCGAGAGCCTGTGTGACCTCTCAAGCAAGCCGGCCCCCAGCCCCCTGGGGGGGCTACACCCACCTGAGCAGATCCCCATAGGCTCCAAGCCTGCAGACTGCCCCAGTCCCCAGGAGCCAGCACAGGGGGCCAAGTCTCCAGGAAGGTAAGGAAATGCCCTCTACTAAGGGTTGGGCCCACACCTCACATGCTTCACAAGAACAGCTCTAGATGCTCCAAGGCCATGTTTCCAATCACCTTTCTCTCTGTCTCTTCCAGCCTGGAGGAGGCCAACGAAGAACTCCCTTCTCAGACAGGGGGCGCCTCGCCAAGCCTACAGGGTGGCTCCGGAGCAGCCCCCTTGAACCTTTCCACAAAGTCGGTGATGGCGGCCTGCGGACACACATACAGAGACGCGGCGCCCCTGGACACGCAGAACTTCCCTGAGCTGCAGGACATGCCCCTCGACCTGTCCGTGAAGGACGCCTGCAATGCCCTGGGGCCAAGGTCATCCCTGCGCAGTCCTCCGAGAGAGGCAGAGTCTGCTGTTGCTCAGGAGACCACAGACAACCCCCAGGAAGGGCCACTGGGCAGCGAGACGGGCCCAGATGGCCCAGAGGAGGAGCCAGCAGAAGGGGCCCCAGGTGGCAGGGCCTCAGACGAGCGCACAGTCGACAGCAGCGATGAGCAGAAGCAGACGGCTGCAGTGGCCCTCTGCCAGCTAGCTGCCTACAGCCCAGGGAAGGCCAGAGTGGACAGTGAGGAGTGCAGTGTCCGAGGGCCAGTGACTGAGCAGGACACACCTGTGCTCAGCACCAAGGAGAATCGGGACACCCAGAGCAGTGCACCCAAGCCCAGAGCACAGAAAAGGTCACAGAAGGACTCAGGGAAGTCCCAGGCTGGAGCGAAAAGAACCGCGCCCAACGACACAGCCCGAGTGCTCACGCTGAGGAGGAGGACCCGGTGCCTCAATGCCTGACCTCCACACAGACCTCACACTTCCCTCCACTGCTCACCTGGACTCTTGGTCTTCTCAAAAGAGCTGCCATAGTCCAAACACCAAACCCACTGGCATTCTGCATCGTGGTGACCCCACATGTGCAGAGCTGCCCCAGGGGGTTCCCTGGCTGTGATCTTAATGAAGCAGATTGCCAGGCCTTTCTTCCACAGCTCCCCTGGTTCTAAACCATGACCTTTAGGTTAGCCAAGTGCAAAGTGCTTGCATAAGTGTTAAAGGTGCTTCTACACATGCTTGAAAATACACTGGGCCGACTCAGGTGCTCTAAGTGTGAAGAGTTAAAACTTCTGTTTTCATGTTTGTAAAAGGCACCGGGATAGAAGACCACCCTCTCGTGTGTGCCATCTCACAGGGTCCCTTACAAATATGTTAGCTCCAGAACTGCTTTTCTACACAACCTAGCTGTGTGTTTTGAAATAAATAACAATTGTTAAAGAAAAAATGCTGGGGAATATTTAGGAACCAACATTAAAGTCTGTATGTAAAAACGCTACAATTGATATAACTGCAAAGAATATACAACAAGAGGCTATTTATACAAATAATTTATTTCCACTAGGGAAAATGTATTACTGGTGATGGTATAATCAATACACCCTATTTGCTTTTACTGTTACAGTGAATTTTCTGACTTAGCCTCATTTTCCAATGATGAATATAATGTATATATTGTTAATTTTAATAAACTCCTATGTGAATTCTAAGAATACATAAAATGAAGACAAATATGACCTGTGTCATCCTTTAGAACATAGTTTGTCATCATACCCAAGAAAGCAGAGCTAATAGTCGAGGGTGCCTTGCAAAGGCAGTAGGAGAGACAGAATATGGGGGAATGGAGGGTGGGTGTGTGTATCTGTGGGGGGTGGGGGGAAGCTGAGCTACGAAGGGGCAGACAGAGAACCTGTGTGTGTGTGTATGGGGGGCCCTGAGCTATAAAGCAGTCAGGGGTCAGGGTTCCCCAAGGGTCCTGAAAACTGAAGATCGAATCCTCAGTCTACAGCCTGGGGAAGGGTGGTCAGTGTCCTGTGGTTCCCTGTCCTTTCCCCATTCCCTTTCATAATGGCCCTCTCCCACTGGACACACGAAAGGCAGCCTTTCCCCCAGCTGTTCCTAGCCAGGTGTCCAGAGTGGCACCTACAGCTCCACCCAGGAAGACTCTGTTTGAGGTTGTCAGCAGGGCTGAGGGTCCTCTGACACAGCAGTCTGGGAGAGTCCACAGTGATGGACACATGACTCAGAAAAGGCTGCGAACAAACAGTGCCAGAGAAAATGCCCGCCCACCACTGCACCTCCAGAAGTCAGTGGGCAGGGCCCCCAGCACTTACAGCTCTCAGATGCCACCTTGTCATTCTAGATGGACTCATCCTCATGCACACACCTGAGCCAACTGCTTACACAAAAGCCAATCTAGTCATCATTACACGTCAGTAAAATGTTGTCTTAATATTGTGTTAAACCCCATCTTAAAAACGTGTAGACATTCAGCACCCTACGGCCACAGGCACTGTGAAAATTAATGTTTCTGCCCATGTACCTGCTTCTGTTGCAGACACAGGATAGAGGGCATGACAGTCACTCCCTAGGGTCTAGACAGGACACATCTGTGGCCAGTGGGAGAGGGGCCGATCACTTCCCCGTGAGAGAGAACCCGTGTAAGCTGGCATCCACTCACTGCCATCAAGGAGACCCCTCCCAGACAAGGAGCGTCCCGCCCCATAGGGTCTCTAAGCACTAATCTGGCACTGTAGGATAAGCACACCACCACAAGGTTGGTTTGAACTGCAGGGTCAGTGGTTCAAACCCACCAGTCCCTCCTTGAAAACCCTCTACAGTTGCTCTGAGTCAGAACTGACTCAAAGGTATTTAACAACAATCTTTACGGAAGCCATCTTTCTCCCATGGAGCGGCTGGTGGGTTTGAACAGGCCACCTTGAAGTTCTCAGTCTGATGCTTAACCAACTATACCACCAGGACTTCTTCAGTGTACAGCTATTATTGTTGTTAATGAGTGCTGTGGAGTCGGCTCCAACTCAGAACAACCCTGTACAGGGTTTCGGAGGAGTAGCTGGTGAGCTTGAACCGCTGACCTTGCCGTTGAAACCGACCGTGTAGTCCAGCGCATTAACCCGCAGTGCCCACCAATGTACAGGGGTGGGCATTAAATCACTATACTTGTGCTCCATGGGCAGTAGTTTTCTCTTCCACAGACAGCTGTGCACAGCAGAGGCCGGGCTAGCTGATGAGTCACAAGTAAAGAAACCGACCTGTGAGAACTGCTTCCGGCCCAAGTTCTCTGCGTTTCCAGAGGAGCCTGTGAGGAAGTGGCCCAAGAGCAGCAGTGAGGGGGCCCTGTGGGCCCTGGATCCACACCAGGTGTTCCTCATCTAATCATTTCCACTGTGTCTTTCCACCCGGTCAGGATCAAGATCCCAGGTGGGCCAGAACCAGCCCTCCCACAGTGCAGCTGGCATCTGTCTGCCTGATGTGCTGCCCAGGTCTGAACAGAGCACCAGCGCCACTCCTGCTAACAGTTCCCCTGGAATGGAGCACACGGGGCTAAAGCCTCAGGGTCATGAGAGCACAGGCAGGCCCAGCCCACCGTCCAGCAACCGGCAGGCCGCACCCAGGGAGCCTGGGCCTTTCAGCACCCAGCATGGCGATCGAGCCCATCAGCTGCCCCTGAGAAACCCTACACAGGGTCACTGAGGGTCAGAACTGAATTGATGGCACTTCACAATAGCAACATGGCCACAGAAGGAAGCACAGTGGCTCCACCACACGATACGCACCAGACTGCAAGCCACAAGGTCTGAGACTTGAGCCCACCAGTCGCTCCATGGGAGGAAGAGGAGGCTCTCTGCACCTGCCAAGATTTACAGCCACGGAAACTCTATACAGGGTCAGTATGAGTCAGAACCAACTCAAGGACACATAACAACAGGACCATAAAAAGTCTTTTCCAACCTGTACCACACCCGATGGAGAAGGCCGAAGAACTGTGTTTGTTATTGTCAGGTGCTGTCGGATCAGTCCCGACTCACAGCGGCCTGACTCACAGCGGCCCAACACACGAGAGACCAGAACCCTGCCCGGTCCTGCGCTGTCTTCACAGTTGAATTATGTTTGAGCTCATTGTTGCTGCCACTGTTAGGGGTCTTCCTCTTCCTCATTGACCCTCCACTTTTCCAAGCATGATGTCCTTCCTGACAACATGTCTAAAGAACCAGGGGCAAAGTCATGCCGCCCAAGAACTGGAGCCCCTGAAATAAAGCCATGAGGAGCCGCCTTTAGGGACCAGAACCCATGTCCTCTTATCCAGCTGTCCAGGCCCGGGGATGTCACAAGTCAGGACACAGGACCACAGGCCACCTGGACCACTGCACAGGGCGAAGGCCATCAGAAGAGCCGCTGCCCTTCCATGCTCACCAGCAGAGGCATTGGGCAGGGCCCCAGCTCCCTCACCCCCGCTGCTGAGGCCCTCAGGAGCCACACACTCAGACAAAACACAGGGCTAAAGAAATGAGCCCTTCACAGTGATTCCACAAAGTCTGCAGGCTGATCCAGGGACTCAGCTAAAGCCTGTACATCAAAGGACTCCAGTGGACACAATCCCAGAGAGGGAGGAAAGATGAACTAATTGTGGCACTGTAGGATAAGCACTAGACTGCTAATCAGAAGGTTGGCACTCCTTAGAAACCCTGTACAGGGGCACAGGGCGTTGGAATCCACTCAGCAGCACTTAACAACATCTAGAATACAGGAATGGACAAAAGACTGCTTAGGAAGGCTGATAATGTGACCGCAAGGCTGTGAGACCCTGGGCAGCTTTGCTCTTTTGTGCAAATGGGTCAATGAAAGCCAGTGAGGACAACAAGGCAGCAGGTGTTTGCAGGTGGGACACTGCGCAGCCCCGTGTTCAGTGGGGCCGCGGGCAAACGCCAAGCAGACATGCTGTAGACACTTACCGTCAGTGAGTCGAGAGGGAAGCAGCAGGCCTCTTCTGCCCAACTCCGCCAGTGCCAAGCATCCGCCGTGCCACGCGTTGTCCGTCTCCTGGAAACTGACAGAACACAGGAAACCTGAGGTCAGTTTTTATTTCAGTGTAGAGTCAACTTCCTCAGATGGTCAGGAACACCTGCCAAAAGTGTGTGTCATATTCTCGATCGCAAGCCTCTCCAAAACCCATCAGTGAGTTTGTAAAAGCGTCTTGGCTACAGAAATGGGGGAGGTGGTGGTGGTGTACCATAGCGCCATGATCTGTACACTGTCTCCAAGGCTCTAAATGGTTATGGGAGCAGAAAGCCTCCTCTTATTTCAGTGGAGCACCTGGTCAATTCGACTTGCTCGTCACCCACTACGCTGCCAGGGCTAGAGAAACGGGGCACTGTGATCGAGGTGACGACACCAGAACGCAAGTGGCTAAACACCAACGCTTGGCCGCAACAGTCCAGAAGAGAGATTAGGGTCACCACGTCTGTGCTGTGCTCCCCGCCGCATGACCACGCTCACACCATACTCTCACACAAACGGCCTGCCTTCCCGCTCAGCCACACACCCACCAGGAAGTCTGGACTCAGAATATAACATGTGAGGAGAGACAGAGCATGAAGGCTTCCTGTAAATGACACCCCACAGTAGTGATGGAATTCAAGGGAAGAAAATTAGGGCAATAGAATGACCTGGCGAGAATTCCTCTCACCCCTTAGAAGACAGACAAGTGTTTGTGGAGACACACAGCCCTGATGCAGACTGGCTGCTCCCCCTACAGCGTGCTGCTCAGATGACAAAACCCGAATTCACTTCACCAGGCAAGCAAACTCTAGGAGTGAGCCCCTTCTGAATGGCAAACCTATGTTTAGGAAAGCTAACTAAATGCATCACCAGGGACACACGGAGAGGAGGGCACACAAGACTGCCCTGTCATGAGATCCCCCACGTGCCATCGTGTGTCGGGTGTGTCCCGGGACCCTGGAGCTTAGTCTACTAAAGACACAATCGCACGCATAGTTTAAAGTTCCTGATGTTTTCTTAGATGTCTTTCCAAAGGCTGAAGGAAGTTTAACAATGACCTAGCCTCCTTTCTGCAGTCGACCTGGGTGGTTACCACAGAAATGAGCAAGTTCATGAGGCCCCGGGAAGATGGTGCTGGTCCTGGCTGGGTAGTACTCCAGGCACAAAGCCATCTTCTACAAAAACACTGATGACGGCACCTCAGCCCCACTGCCATGCTCTAGAGGCTCGGACCAACTGCTATCCCCACAAAGGAACAGCGGCCATGAGCTCAGAGATCAAGTGTCCTGTGAAAGGTTACAGCTCTAATCACCTCATGCCCACCAGGTACTCTGTGGATATTCCCTTGTACAAAATTGCTGTCAACAAGGGTGTCTTCAGACAGCCTGTTCTTAACTGCAAGGCCCGCCAGGAGGCCAAGGGCAAATCTGAGGAGAGGTTCGAGACAGGCAAAAGCAAGCGGTTCTTCCAGAAGCTACAGTTTTAGATCTTGCTTCTTTCAATCATTAAAGCACTTTGTGCCTGTTTGGGTTTTAGAGAGTAATGCTTGAGACTGTCCCTAAAGGTGCAGCATCAGTTAGACTGAATCCAACCACCGTGCCCTGTGAGTCAAGCACGGACACAAACACCCACGGGGGAAGCACTTGGGACCAGACGCCTCTATCTTCAGGCTACACTTCCTGCTCAAGAGGGGACCCCATCCTCACATGCTGCGGGGGGGGGGGGGCAGAGGGATGGACCCTCCTCCCTGAGGTGGCCACCCTGCTGCCCGCTGCTGACAGACACCGGCCCAGGCCTGGTGAGCAGAGAGGGTCTTGGAGGACTCAGGAGGGTAAGTGGTCCTTCCTCCAAGGAGGTGTAGCCCCCCACCATGCCAGAGCATGGTGACCAAAGCAAGATCCCAACACTGTCTCGCATGAGTGGACATGGCACCGGGCAAGCCACACCAGCATCACCTCACAGAAAGGTCACTTCCTGTGCAGGAATACCAGCTACTTCCCACAGAGCCTCCAACCCTCACCCACACCCACAGCAATCCTGGGGTCTCGCCAGCACCAAGGGACAGCCACGCATGGCCAGGCTCCAGAGTGGGAAAGGCAAGGAGGGACGCAGAGCCTGTATCACATTCTGACACACGCACCAGGTACAGCGGACGTACCAGAGGGCTCTCTGCCATCCACCAGTTTATAGAACTTGGTCCTAAAATGCAACCATCCAAAATTCAGAAAGCCTAGGGAGGCACTGCTGCAGACGAATGCGTGTAGAGATGGGGACGGCTCCCTGGATGTGGTCCCTACAGGGAGGACCCGCGGGAGCCCCTGGCAGTACTCCTGGAGAGCTACTGGCTCTGGGCCTAGGCACAAGGGGCAGAACCGTGTGGGAGCAGTCTGCCCTCAGCCTTAATTCGCCTTTGTTGTTATTAAGTGCCATCGAGTCAGTTCTGACTCATAGCGACCCTGTATAGGGTTTCCAAGGAGCGGCTGGTGGGTTTGAACCACTGACCTTGCAGTTCAAACCGACCTTGCAGTCTAATGCATTAGCCTTTTTTTTCTTTAAGTTTTTACTGTGGATTGAGTGAAAGTTTACAGGGCAGATCATCAGTTGTACATTCAACAAATCATACAACTTGTTCGATCACTAAATTCACCTTTAAGAGACTTAAGAAAATGGAAAAGAAATGATGCCAAGATAAAGAGGTCTGGGGAATAAAAAAAAATAAAAAGAGAGATCTGAGAGCAGCACCATGCGAGTGCACACACACACACACACACACACACTCTCGGCAGCACGTGTGAACTGTGAGCCTCTCTGAGAAGCCAGGAGGGAGGAGGAAGCCCTTGGAAGGGCATGGCTGAACAGAGAGCAGGGTGTGCAGATATGGCTGCACGGAGGCTACAGAGCATCTCTGCTCCCACCTTGATGACTCATCGCCTGCAGCCCTGACCAGGACATCAAGGCAACGGGGCAAAAGGAGCATCCCAGAGCAGCCCCAAGAAGCAGCTGTGGCTCTCCTCACACAGATGACCAGCACTGGACATGTTGCTTCCTACACTCCTGATACTGACACTGAGCATGCTCAGTCCCCAGCCAGCAACCACCCACCTGAGGCCCAAAGTGCTGACAGTACAGCTGCCTCAGAGGCACAGCAGTACTAACGAGGGCCTACCACAGCGCTGCTCCTCAGTACGGATGCCACTCCCCTCGGGACAAGGAGCCACAGCTAGACAGCAGAGCACAGCCCCTGCCCCTGGGAGCACCGTGGCCCCTCTCCCCGGGAGCACCACGGCCCCTGCCCCTGACCCATACCTCAGGGAGCACCGCGGCCCCTCCCCCTGACCCCTCCCTCAGGGAGCACCGCGGCCCCTACCCTAGGGAGCACCGAGGCCCCTCCCCCGACCCCTCCTCCCGGGAGCACCGCGGTCCCTCCCCCTCCCTCAGGGAGCACCACGGCCCCTCTCCCCGACCCCGACCCCCTGGAGCACCATGGCCCCTGCCCCTGGGAGCACCGCGGCCCCTGCCCCTGGGAGCACCGCGGCCCCTGCCCCTGGGAGCACCGTAGCCCCTCTCCCCGGGACCACCGCGGCCCCTGACCCTGACCCCTACCTCAGGGAGCACTGCGGCCCCTCCCCTTGGCCCCTCCCTCAGGGAGCACCGCGGCCCCTACCCTAGGGAGCACTGCAGCTCTGCGGGTTTCACTGTTACTTATTTGCAGCCTCAGGCTGACATCTGAAACCTGTCGTCCCATACCAGCCCCCCTCATCACAGGCCAGGTACCAGCAGATACCCTGAAGTCTCAAAAAGGCCACCAAGACCCACATAGCACAGCCACAAGTACATGCAGCTTTGTCATTTAAATTCATTACATGAAATCCTGTCACTCTAGCGTCGGTTTAAGGACTCATGAGCCACAAGTGGCAAGCAGGGGACTGCAGTGGTCTAGATCATTCCACCTCGAAGAGCCTTCTCCTGCATGACCCAAGTCTAGGTAACCCTTACAGGTCGGTATCTACACCTGTGAATGGCTTTCTTTCCCTTGAGGTCTAAGGGCAGCGTATCAGAAATCACCAGCTTTTTCAACTTTGACTTTAAAAGATGCTCTGGGTTCTGAAGGTTATTCAATGGAACCAAACATAAAAGGTCTCAAACTTGAAGCTCCAGGCGGATGTCACATACCTGAAGCAATCCAGCATGGAGCCCACCACATCATCCGCCAGGTCCTGGGGAAGCCGTCCAGCCATCCTGCCAATGCTGAGAAAGAGATAGCAGGTCACTCACACAGGTCACTCACACCTATCGGTGGGCACACACGACTGCAGCCCACAGGCCCCATATATATCATCAGGGTGAGGGGTCCTGTCCCCATTCTGAGTCCAGGGTCTGACTCCAGTGGGAGAGCAGGATGGTCAGTTGGGCTGTGGACCTGGTCTGTATCACCAGAGACACAGCCGTGATATCAAGATGACACCAGAGAAACCAGAGGCAGAGCCTCCAATCCCGCCTGCCAAAGCCCACTCCCCTCTGCACCCCTGAACTCCACCATGAAAGGGCTATGTGGTTATCAGTGGGTGGGCAGTGTGGTGATGAGGACGGGCACACGCCTGTCAGTGGGGCAGTGGGGAGGGGGCAGTGTCAAGGACGCAGGGGGAAGGTGAACTATCCAATCTGCTCAGTGGACAAGTGGGTACATACCCTTTGGCTGCTGACCACCGAACAATCGTGTCCTTGTCCTTGAGCCCGGCCAGTAGCTGCTCTGCAACGATGGAGCACAGAAGAAATCAAATTCTGAGCTATGTAGCCCACTCCTCCAGCCCACACTCGGAGCGACTCAAACCGAAAGTCACCGCTCATCTCAGGAAAGAAGAGAGAACCTGTGGTTCTAAACAGTCACTTAAAACCAACTTCTGCCACCCCTCTTAGGGAGTCAGTCCAACAGCCTGGTACACTTCCCTCCACAGGGTCTTAGAGGAAGATCTGCAGTGGCCACACAAGTTCATTCAGTGACACCCCAGGTTCTGGGTGCCCCACTGGGTTCCATGTGAACCCCCGCATTCCATGAAACCAGATCCTCTATGATCCCGCCAGGTTCTGGGTGTCCATGTGTCCTCCATGATTAATGTGTCCCTCTGGGTTCTGTGTGCCCCCAAGTTCCATGGACCCACCCTGGATTCCCCATGACCCACCCAGGTTCCATGTGCCCCACTGGGTTCCGTGCACCTCCAGATTCCATGGACCCACCCCGGGTTCCCTGTGATGCACCCCCGGGTCCAGTGCACCTCCAGGTTCCTTGTGTGAGGAAGACAATGGCGAGTAAGTGCCAGCCACGAGGAGCACACACAGAGGAAGCTACTTCTAGCAGGAATGCGATGGTGTTTCCCAGCCAGCGATAGCTGGAGCCCGGCCTCCTGGCAGACGGGCCCTAAAGCACCGCTCCACGTGACTTCCCGCACCCCCATTGCACAGGGCGGTGGGTTAGGGCCAGCCAGCCACACACCTATCACTGTCTCCACCTCCTCCGGCACGTCACAGTCTTCCTCTTCATCAGGAGTCCCACTGTGGGGCTCATTTTGCCTCTGGGTAGAAAGCTTCAGATTCGCAGCCAGAGATCGACAGCCCCGCTGATACCTGCCACAGAGCATACACTTTCAAACCAGAGTCCTTACAACTCAGAGCCCAAAAAAGAAATTGTCTTACTTTAGTGACAAAGTGAAAATACCACCTCAGACTGGGAGAAACATATCTAACAAGGGCTTACTTTCCAAAATATATATAAACTTCTACCACTTAACAGCAAACAGATAAACCAAACAAAAAGTGAGGGAAGGCCTTGACCCAAGCTTCCTATCATTAGAAGTTACAGTTGGTGGAGGCCCTCAAGTTGCCTCAGACTCCTGGGGCCCTACACGTGCAGGGTGAACTGCTCCACAGAGTTTTCAGGGTTGTTTGTGATCTTTCAGAGGCAAACTGACAGGTCTTCCAAGACGCCTCTCGGTGAGTTCAACCTGCTCGTCTCCCATCTGCACCAACCAGGGACTCCTATTTAACCATTAAGGATGCAGATCAAAACCACAGTGAGATATCCCCCATTAGGAGGGCTAGCAGCAAGGAAACAAACCAACGAGTGTAGATGAGGCTATGGAGAACTGGAATCCACGCCCACTGCTAGTAAGAATGCAAAACAGTCCAATCAACGTGGAAAAAGCTAGCAGTTTTTCAAAGTTAAACATAGAACTACTATGCTGATATTGCTGTTAGTGCCTTCGAGTCAGTTCCGACTCACAGTGAGCCAGTATAGGGTTTCCGAAGAGCGGCACTACAGACCCTGCAGTTGAAATCCACCTTGAGGGCCACACCAGAACTACTAAATGATGCAACAGCCCCAATCCCAGGTCTCCATCCAGGAGAAGTGAAGACAGAAATGCTACCAGACTCCTGAGCCCCAATCTTCATTTCAACACTGCTCACAAGAGCCAAAGGTAAAGACAGCCATAATGTCCACCAACAGATGGATGGAGGACCAAACTGTGGTCCCCTCACACAACGCAACACAGAGAGATGAAGTCAGGATGCCTGCCCCGACACAGGCAAGCCTTGAGGACATCATGCTGAGTGAACTGCCCACCTGCCGGGCAGTCCATTCTGACACAGAGCAACCCTGGAGGACCCTGCCGCTTAGGGTTTCCAAGGCCCTGGTGTGGCTCTGTGGGGTAAGCTCTGCACCACTAACCACAAGGTCGGCAGCTCAAATCCACCAGCTGCAACTCGGAAACCATCTCTAGGGTCCTAGCGATGAGTCGGAATCAACTTGATGGTGCTTCACAACAACAACAACAACCACCATGACAGAAACCGCCACATCTTTCTCTCTCATTGAGCAGTTGGTGGGTTCAAACCACCAGCCTTTCAGTCAGTACTGGTCACTTTAAACACTGCCCAACCAGGCACCTGCGTGACAGAAGTCACTCACTAAAGGGTAAAGACTGTAGATCCCACTTACATGAAATGAACAAACAGGGAATTCAGATAAACAAGTGTGACATCGGATGGTGCGGGACCAAGCAATCTGATGTGTTGGACACAGGGTCAGTACGAATCCGAACCAACTCAGCAGCCCCTAACAATAATAATGAATCATTACCAGGCTGAAAGGGAGGAGAGGGGAAGATGCAGTGCTTATAAAGATGGTGGAGAAGGATTTTCGAGAACAGCAGGAATGGTGTTCTAACATGAAAACAGCCGTGTCATTGACTGTAAAGGGAAGGCTGTGCTGGCGAATGTTTGGGTGTACATATTTTCACCACACACACACACACAAAATCCGTTTGGATGATTGAAATCAACATGTTAACGTCACTTTGAATGCAAACATATGCTAATGAAAATCCCACACACTTTGCAGAGACTTAATAAAAAGGTCAGAAACAAGTATTCACCATCACCAACGTGAGCAGTAAGGAGCACAGGTCACACACCTGCATCCCTCCGGCCCAAACACACTGTGTAGGGCCAAGTTGCCATAAAAGATGTCGGAGAAACTCGATGACAAGAACATGCACAACAGAGTAGCAGGTGAGAGGCCTTCACATAGCTCCCTACACATCCCTCTTCACAGGCAGACACAGTCTCCCCAAGCCCAGTGAGTTCATGTGTCCCACCACTGCTCTTGGGGAATGGCACCCCATCCACCACCCACCAGGTCAGACATCAAAAACCCAGTCACCTTCGCACTTCACCTCCCATTCACTGCACCGCTGCCAACTCGGCCACGAACTTTCCACCCAAAGCCAACAGTACCTCTCCCTGGGCAGGGCCACAGCTTCCTAGACATGGTTAAGGACTAGCCACCACCTCGAAGCAGGAGCCAAACCCCACGGAGGGGCAGGGGGGCTTCACTCCAGCTCTAGGCCCAGCTCCCTGTCAACTTAGCAGTAAGACTCTGAATGGGTACTGAACATCTCTGTGCCTCAGTTTTCCTTTCTATGAAAGGAGACTGCTTCTGTTTAGATTCCTATGTAGATTCTAGCTCCGGGAATTGCAAAAACAAAAAGAAAATTGCATCTAACCACATCACAGTTGAACTGAAATGACAGGAGAAAGAGCAAAGTCTTAAAGGGAAGCAGACTAAGAAGGCCCATTACCTCAGGAGCATCAATAAGAAAGACATTAACAAAGGAACCCAGAGTACAACACGATGGTGTCTTTCACATGCCCAGGGGAAACTGCCAACCTGAAATCCTATATCCCGCACAAGTACCTTTCCAAAAAGACGACATAATAAAGATATTTTAAAACAAATAAAAACTGAGAAATTATCACTCTGAGAAATACTAAAGGAAGTTTTTCTGATTAAAGGGAAATGATCTCAGATGGAAGACAGAGCAAACATTAAAAACATAAATATGTGGAAAAATACGAAAAAAAAAAAATGCTGACTACTAAAGGAAAACTTACAACAATGTGCTACAGGGTTAGAAGCATATGTAGAAGTAAACTATAGAGTTACAATTAAATTCAATTAAAATATAGAGTTATAATTCAAAAGAGGAAAAGTGGAAATCAGTTTGCAGAAGAATCGAACAATACCCACATCTTCGACCCTAAAAATGAGCTCAATGAGGATTAAAGACCTAAGTGCAAACCCTAGAAATACAACCCTAAAAAGACCATCAATGAAAAAAAAGGAAAAAATTAAGGGCCCCGAAAAAAGGCAAAAAAGCAACAACAAAAAAGAACTAAAACACAAATAGCCGAAACAAAATACACGACCGGGACACCCTAAAACTAGATGCTCATGTACATCAAAAGATCCCATCAAAAGACTGAAAAGGAAATCCACAGACTGGGAAAGAATTTAGCAATGATATATCAAACAAGAGACTACTGTTTAAAATTTATACAATACTTAAACCCCTCAATAAGAAGACAAATAATCCCATTTAAAAATGGGCAAAGGACATGAACTGAAACGCCACCAAAGACGACATTCAGACGGCCAACAAACGCGAAACACCGCTCATAAGAATTAGCCACTGTTGTTGTCAAGAGCCCTGGAGTTGATTCCACCTCATAGTGACTCGTATAGCGTTTCCACGGCTATAAATCTTGGCAGGAGCAGAAAGTCTCATCTGTCTACCACAGCTGCCGTTGGGTGTCACTGAGTTGGAACCGACTCATAGCGAACCTATGTACACAACAGAACAAAACACTGCCTCCCAATCATCGCTACGGTGGAGCACATTACTGCTGCCACTGTGACAATCCACCTAGTTTGGGGTCTTCCTCTTTTTCTCTGCCCCTTCACTTTTCAAACATGATTCCATCTCCATGGACTGGTCTCTCCTGACAATGTCTGGACTATGAGAGATGACGTCTGGCCATGCTGGCTTCTGAAGAGCATTCTGGCTTGCTTTTTCCAACACAGATCAGTTTGTTTTTTTGGCAGTCTGTAGTACTTTTAATATTCTCCTCCAACTCCATAACTCAAATGCATCAATTCTATAGTCTTCCTTATTCACTGTCCAACTTTCACATACATATGAGGTGACTGAAAATGCCATGGCTTGGGTCAGGCGCACTTTAGTCCTCAAGCTGACATCTTTGCTCTTGAACACTTTAAAGAGGTCTTGTGCAGCAGATTTACCTAATGCAATACGTCACATGATTTCTCTGACTGCTGATTCCATGAGCATAGATGGTTGATTCGAGTGAAATACAGTGTTTGACAAGTTCAATCTTTTCTCCATTTATATGGATGTTACTTATTTATTAATTCAGTGGTGAAGGTTTTTGCTTTCTTTACATTGAGATGCAACCCATACCGAAGGCTGTGGTCTTTAATCTTCATCAGTAAGTATTTTAAGTCCTCTTCAGGTTCAGCAGGTAAGCTTGTGTCCTCTGATATCACAGTTGTTAATGAGTCTTCCTCCAATCCTGAGGCCATGTCTTTCTTCGTATAATCCAGCTTCTAGGATCATGTGCTCAGCATACAGATTAAAAATAATATGGTGAAACAACACAACTCTGACACACACCTTTCCTAATTTAAAGCCATTCAGTGTTCCCTTGTTCTATTCAAACAACTGCCTCTTGGTATATGTACAGGTTCCACAGGAGCAAAATGAGGTGTGCCAGAATACTCATTCTCTGCAATAGTGTCCATAGCTTGTCATCCACACAATCGAAAGCCTTTGTATAATCAATAAAGCACAGGTAATCATCTTTCTGGTACTCTCTGCTTTCAGCCATGATTCATCTGACACCAGCAATGGTATCTCTCATTCCATGTCCTTATCTGTGTCTGGCTTAGACCACTGGCAGTTCTCTGTCAATGGGCATCGGCAGCCGTTTTGGTATCATCTTTAGCAAAATTTTACTTGTATGAGATAATAATGATGTTGTCCAATGACCTCCGCATTCCGTTGGGTCATCTCTCTTTCAAATGGGCACAAATATGGATCATTTCCAGTCAGCTGGCTAGCTAGTTGTCTTCCAAATTTCTTGGCATAGGTGAGTGTCTCCGGTGCGTCATCAGTTTGTTGAATGATTTCAATTTGTGTTCCATCACTTCCCAGAGGCTGGTTCTTTGCCAGTGCGTTCAGCGCACCCTGAACTTCTCCTTCAGTATT